TGCAGCAGCCAATTTTTGGTTGCGTTAGTCTATCCGCAATGTCAGTATAGGATTTCGATAGGCTAACACAACCAAAAATTGACTGATGCAACCAATTAAAAATGCTGTGCCATATTTTACCATCTAATTTGCTGCAGCAGCCAATCTTTTTTTTTTTCAGTGTACACGTTTAATTATAATAACACGTTTTATTTGAATTGTATACTTGTTTTTTATCTGTATTTTCTCGAATCAAAACGAATTAGGACTAGTTGTTACACCTCAATCAAGACAAAATGTTAAAGTATAACAATTTACTCCATACTCCTCTGAAATTAAAAACCGTTTTTGTTTCTTTTCACAGTGCAATTTTAAAAAAAAAGATAGAGAGGATCTGTAAGTATAAAAACATATAATACAACAACCACAAAAGAAATTTAATTAGAGGTAGCTCTCTGTCTCTTACAAAACCACAGATGCATATAACATTAATTTTATAACGTTGCAACATTATATAAAAAAAGAAGCAAAAATTAATGACAAATTTACTTCCATGGTTAAATTGGTAGGGAATGCAGAATCTAAGCAAGTATCTTCTAATGATTTAGAATTAAAATTTGAGAATATTGTTGAGTGCAGCAGAATATATTACGGTTTATCATCCAGAAATGTAAGGTTATGAATATCTGTATAGATTTTTAAATTGATCATCCTAAAAATTGGGATAAATCAAAATGTGCATCCGAAAATTGACTCTTAGTTTTTTTAAAGAGATATATTAAACTCTCTTCGAATTTCTGAAACAATAAGTTTGTCTAGAGATTTTGCCACAAGATTTAATTCTTACAACGTCTCTTTATAAAATCTTTCAGCAGTTCAAATATCCTCAAGTATGGAATGTAAACAAAACAAGAATGAATACAGTTAAAAAACCAAAGTGATTGCAGAGAAAAAAGAAAAACAAATAGGAAGAACATCTGCTGAAAAAAGAACAACTGCAACTATTGAAATACAGTCAACGCGCGCGCGCGCGCCCGCGCGAATAGTAATTTTTCTCTTCCATTTTTTACTTTTCCTCGTATTAACTTTAAGCGACATTTTATCAATCAAGGTTCAACTAGAAGCATTTGTGCTGCTCATAGTGGATGGACTACGGGACCGATTTTTTTACAATTTATAGAACACATCCATAAATATGTGTTATTTTCTATCGAATCTCCTATATTATTGGTTTTAGTTTTAGGTAATCACAATTCTCACCTATTAATACCAGTGCTAGATTTTTGTAAAGAAAAAGATATAATCCTTTTACTCTCTATTTTCACAACATATATCACACCATCTATAACTTCTGAATCTAAGTACATGATTTTTTTTAAATATGTACTCTGCTCGTACAAACTGGATGAATTTGCAACTATATATATATAGCGCTTCAATATCAATATCTGACATATTTTCAACTGTTAAAAAAGCTTTGTCAAGCGCTTTAATTCTAAAAACATTATAGCAGACCTTTAAAAGGCTGATTTGGCCTTTTAATCGGAACGTGTATGAAGAATGAAATTTTCTCACAGCTAATATCACTGACAGACCTTTACCAAAAATTTCTCAAAAAGAAGACAGGCTTATAGAAATAGAAGTTTGTCAAACTCGCTTGATTGTGATATAAATTTGACTTCAACCAATGATAACTCAATGCAACACCTAAGAAAAACACTTACAAAAGATAATTCTAATAACATTGAATAAAAAATTATCACTTTTGAAGATATAAGATCATATCCGAAGACTAAAGCAAGGAAAAATAAAATAGGCATACAGAGATGGAAACAAAAATCTATTATTTTAACAGATTCTCCTTTTAAAAAGCAATTAAAAGAATAAATAAATCTAAAGAAAGAATAAGGAATTTTTAGAAACAAAAGAAAAACAAATGAATCTATTAAATTCAGAATGAACGACTGGAATAAATCAAATGAAGATTGGATTCAGTACACACATACAAAACATTGGCTCACATTTGTTGCAGAGAAAATGATTCATATTTGGCGCTTTCCACTTAACGCTTCCAACGCTCGTGGAATCATTTCATCTTTGTCGTTTATCAAATGTTAAACAAGGACAAACGATGCTCGCGAGCGTTGCGAACGTTAAGTGGAACGCAATCATTATGTTTGCATTAATTGCTCATCTAAAATTAAATTACTTGAAAGTGAGACTTTCAATGTTTTTATAGTCGAAAATATTTATAGTCTAACTATCGAGTATTTATATTAAAATTTATAAAGCATACATGTTGTACTAAAATCAGGTTACATTATTTTTAATTAATTATAATTAACTATCGAATATATTAATGCACATTTAATGAATTTGTACTTTTTTACTTGAAATTAGACTTTAATTCACTACTAATTTAATAAATTAATAATTTAAGATCATATTTATTTTCTTTTAGTTGATTGACAAATATTCAATAAATGATTTAAGAAAAAATCTAAGTGTTTTATGTTTTTAATTTCATAATTTAATCATTGTAATCGTAATTGATATGTTCTTATGTGCAAATATTTGAGAAAATATTGTAAATATAATAATTTGTCTTAAACTTAGTAACAACAATTTGTTTTACAATGGTGTAAGGTGTTACAGTTTATCTATTAACGGAAAATTTCAATATTTAATGTTAAAAGATATTGACACAAATTAGAAAAAAGTTGATTACCTAGTTAAAAATGTACTTCAATCAGTGCATAGATATCTTGATAATGTATACATTATTCCGAAAAAATTCTAATAAAAAAATTGTAACTAGTCATGGTTATGCCTATATAACTATGAAACTAATGACAATTTAGATTATTAAAATTTGAATTCAAAGTACGTTTTTAGAAATGAAGCTTTTTCTTAAATTTTATTTGTCAAATGCTACTAATTTTTTATAATAACTTAATATACAATATTTAATGTTTAATATTTCATACTTACTGTGTAAATTTCCGTATTTCGGAATTTTATTTTTACACTTGTTTAAGTTTTCACATAGAATGTCTATTCCTTCAGGCTTAGCTGTTTTTGCATAAGTTACCTAATATAAAAAAAAAAACTGATTGTATTTACATGTAAACATTTTATATATAAGTACTGTAATTTAAAAAATTGTTAATATGCATGGTATAATTTTTTTTGGAGGGCTCCGTTTGCCTACAAAATGATTGCCTACAGCTTCGTTTGCACACAGCAATATTGCACACAGCGTATTGCACACACGATAATATTACACACAGCGTATTGCACACACGACATTATTGCACACAGCGTATTACACACAGGACAATATTGCACACAGCACATTGCACACTCGACAATATTGGATACAGCGTACTGCACACAAGACAGTATTGCAAACAGTACATTGCACGCATGGCAATATTGCACATAGCACATTGCACACACGTCGTGTGTGCAATACGCTGTGTATAATATTGTCCTGTGTGCAATACGCTGTGTGTAATATTGCCATGTGTGCAATGTGCTGAGTGTAATATTATTCTATGTGCAATATGCTGTGTGCAATATTGTCCTGTGTGCAATACGCTGTGTGCAATATTATCGTGTGTGCAATGTGCTGTGTGCAATAATGCCGTGTGTGCAATACGCTGTGTGGAATAATGTAGTGTGTGCAATACGCTGTATGCAATAATGTCATGTGTGCAATACGCTGTGTGCAATATTGCTATGTGCAAACAAAGCTGTAGGCAATCATTTTGTAGGCAAACGAAAATCTTCCCACTTTTTTTAGAGCTATAATAAATATTTATTGTGTATACTTAAATAAGTCATAATATAATATTCATACTTATTAAAATAGATCTATTTCTTCAGACAATTTTAGTTAAACTTGTTTAATATTTTACATTAGGAATTCTTAAGGAGGTTGTAAGGGCATAAAACACATATATTAATATTTACACTTTAAACAAACTATATACATGTGAAAGTTGTGTTCATAACATTCGGTTTTTATTGAGCAATACATTTTTATAGATTATTTATTTTATTTGTTTATTATATAAATATATTAAGTACTAAACATGACTTATGCAAAATTTCATTGAGATTCACCAATTAGTTTATAACAAATAAATATTTTGTTTATTTATTAAACAATTAAAGTCTGCATCTAATTGTAACATAAATTACATAAATATTTTTGAATTCATATAGTACTTATATAAAAAAATTGAGATTTTTATCATTATTTTATAATACATTTCATATATTTCTATTAGAGCACAAATTTAAAACATGTTACTTTTTATTGAAAAAACTTTTGATCCAGATGGTCAACTGTCTCTAATTTTTTTGTATTACTTTTAAATGCAATTTAGAATAATCTGTAATTTTTTCAAGTAATTCTTAACATATTGCATTTGTCTTACAACCTCTTTAAAATATGGGTTAATTTTTAGTAGAACATGATACTTTTCAAATAAATTATGTTATTTGATGTAACAGTACAAACTTACGCACGCGTGCTACAATTTATATGTACACAACGTACATGTGTGTGTGTGAAGTTGGATTTTTGGAACAACGATAGAAATCAAAACCAAACATACAAATAAATTACAATTATCAAACTCTTTACGCCTAACAATTCGCATCAATGTCGATATAAAAACTATCGTCGCCAAAAATAGTAAACAAGAGCGTTCTTTACACACATGTCATTAGATATTTCAGAAAATATTTATAAAATTATGCTCAACAAAAATTTTAAAAAAGAAAGAAGAAATTAAATAATATAAATAATATGATATATATAAAAAATAAATATAAATATATAATTTACTCTCCTTCCCGCTTTTCTCATATGTATTAATTAGATGCATCGCGGATATTACCGTTTGAAAAAGTGGATCGCGATCTATACAAAAGGAAACCTTGTTCTATGTATCTAAGAAAATATAATTTATACTTACGGCTAGCAGGTACATAAAAAACCACATGAAAATCTTCATTTTTTAACTTTTCCAATTGTAAGACGCGTATAGAAGTTACGAGAGACTTTTTCTGTAGTGTATTGAGAATATCTCGACAATATATATATTCTCAGAAATCACCTACAAAATGATTGTTAATGGCATTTACACTCATTTTTATTGCACATATCGTACACGACATGCGCATATTACACACAAATATATTACACATATGACCATATTGCGTCAAACGTTGTACATAAAGTAATAAAATAAAACCATAGTAATATTTTGATACACATCTTTATTGATCACATTAATAAAACATAATAAATATATTGTATTATATAAATGTACATTATAATAAATATAAAACTACGTCAAAACACTACATCAAAGAAAAAAAAGAGATCATATATTCTAATATCTAAAAATAAGCAATTTTCAAGAGAGCATAATTATCAAAAATAATCGTAATGAGACGATCCAAAAAGGATTTTAAAGCTTTCGTAGCTCCATAAAAAATCAATTAGATTGTTATCTAAAATACCGATCTAAAAAGTAAAAACTTCAAGCTTTTAAAAGAGATTTCAAGTTTTTCCTCTTTCTCTAATTAGTAAAAATTATCCTAATTTTCAATTTTCCAATTTTAACATAGATATTCATGTCTGAAAATTTTAACAAAAAAAAATGAATTATAAACTGCATATTCTACTTGACAAAATTAAACTTGTAATTGTTACTTGTATAAAATTTTTCACTTAAAAGTATTTATGTCCCACAACAAAAATTTAATTTTAAAACAAATAGATGTAATTCAGAAAGTAAGTTTTTAATTTTTACACAAGTTGGATTTTTTTTACAAAGAATTGCAAATGTAAAAAAAGGATCCTGCACAAACTTTATGGAAATTGAATTTCGATCGAATTGGCTGAAAATTTGATATGTCGTAGATCTTATCGTCCTGATAAAAAATGCTCTACAAGCATGACTCCCTACAATGAATCGTTTCATCTCTAAGAGGCGTCATTTTTCAAAACAGTCTAATAGAATAATAAGTCGCCTATTATAGGATAGACTCCTAATATAAGACAGCGGGGTTTCTACTAAACTAATAAGTGCATGTGGTTGGTTCTCTGAACTTTTTACTCTTACAATTAGAGTGAAACCTGTTTAGTAGAAAATTCATTATTAAATCATGCGTATAGTTATTGCAAAAAAAGATTTGTGAAATTGGATGTTGTCAAATTTTATTGACATTAGTCTTTAAATCTTGTTTTATTATATATAAATAAATATTTTGTAATAAAGTCTACATGCAGTGATATAATAAAATTGATAGGAAAACATGTGATATATGATTTGTTTAATTGTAAAGATATATATATTAGATTTAGTAATCGTGAAACAGTAAGGTATATGATTAAGTCGTAACATGAGATAGGATATTTCTAGCTAATATGAGAGCATTTAAATAATTCAATATTCCAAAGTGTATTATCGAACGATATGTTAAAAATGACGATTCTATTGTCAAGATTTCACATAGGCGCGCACGCACGCACGCACGCACGCACGCACGCACACACGCACACACACACACAATTATTACGTATAACATTAAAATTTTTTTGTTCTTACTTGTATATAACATTGTAATTTAATAAAAGCGTGTATAAAAAGTTTATTTTTATTTTTTCCTTAGTTTCCTGTTAGATACCATCTCATATAAGGAAACCCTTGTGATTCATATTAGGAACTCTTTTTTTCAATGAGCAAAATTGGCACTTTTGATAAAAAATTTCATATACAACAAAGTATAGCTATTATCGATTGCTAACTTTTGGTGCTAAAACTTAAATACCTATATTTCCCACAAACTTGACATGAAGGTAGAAGATTAAGGTTACAAATTAAATAAATTACAAGCCTTTAAAAAAAGGTACCTTATTTTTATTATAATGAGCGACTTTATCCTACTACAATATCTTATTTTCAACGAAAACGGTATTTTCAACAAGTACGGTTCTTACGTCGTTATTTGCAATTTCTGCATATATATTTAAGTAAAAAAAGGGTATACAGATAATATTGACTTGATTGCTTCTTACAAAAAAGCTATAAAGATATCGAGGTCGATAATTTGATTTTAGAAATTTAAGCATCCTGATTTGTGAGAGGGGAAAGGACTCACAATAATCAAGCTCTGATTTGTGAGAAGCAATCAAGTCAATATTATCCTTATAACTTTTTACTTAAAAATATATTAAGAAAATGCAAATAATGACGTAGGAATGCATCGTACTCGTTGAAAATAAGATGTTATAATATTAGCCCGTTTTGAAAAATGACGTCTCGTAGAGGTGAAACGGTTCATTAGGTCGTGCCTGTGAGATTTTTATCAAGACAACGATCTACATATCAAATTTCCAGCCAATTTGACCAAAATTCAATTTTCATAAGATTTATGTAGGATCCTTTTTAAAATTAATTTTATTATATTAACTTATTTAGAACGTATTCAGAATCTTACAATAAAGTGGAAAAAGTAACTTACGATATTTTAAAATACCTATTAAATCATGTTACATAATAAATATATTACTAAACGAATCAATTAAAACACAATTATACCAATTTTAGGGTTTGTAATCTCATTACGACAGAAAAGAAATTAGATAATATAGATAAGATACGAAATTAAAAAAAGCATTACATACACAATGCAATTGAAATTTATTATATCATTACATACACAATGCAATTGAAATTTATTATATCATTAATTTTAACATTATTTTAATGATACATCTTCTTTCATTATCACAATTTTACAATTTCACAATCGATCACATTCCACATGTCGAACTTTACTTTATATTTTACTTTCTTATAAGTGCCATTTTGTTTCCAATTCTGCTAATATCTCATATTGAAAAAAATATAAGTAACTCCAGATAATAAAAAATTATAATATATTTAATTAAAATATTATTAAATAAATATTAATTTTAAAATAGTTGCACGATATTTCATAACCACATACCGTTGTTATCTTTTTCAGTAATGTATATAAATTCACGCAATTTAAATTTAATACAGAATACTTATGTATCTTCAAAATTTTAAAAATAATTTTCATATAGTAATTTTCATAGTATAAATATAAAAAAGAAAGGAAAAAGATCCGTGAGAAATATAATTTGATCATGTATCAAAAATTACAAATATCTATACAAAAATGCAATATTATAAATTTTTTAAGGAAATTGAAATATTACTATAAACTGATATATTAATATAATAAAACTTACAATTAGAAATAAACCTAAGTGACTATCAGTCACTTACGCGTTTAGATTTTGCTATAATTATGGTTGCCATCAACGTTGCAATCACCGCAATGATGGTTATTGACTTTAAAGTCTTCATACTACTTTGTGGTTTAAATTTAATGAGCTGTTGCATATTGCTTTCAGGCGATACTTTCTATTCATTCAGAAACGTGATTTTAGATTAAATTACAGTACGGATACATGCTAATATGGTACATGTTAATATGATACTTTATATATACAGGGTATAACTAAAATAAAGTAATAAACTTCGGTGCCGAGCTCCCCACACCAAGAAAGTGAACATATAGCAGATAAACATACGTCCGCAAGTAACTTACTGTTACTGAGATACAGCTCAAAACATTTATTAAGGATGTATGAGTGATATTTTAACATAATAATAAAATTATGAAAAAGTTACAGATTATTCTAAATCACATTCAAAAATAATATAAAAATTTGGTGACGGTTTCTGGATAAGTTATCAAGAGACATGATAGTGTCTCGCGCCAAGTGAAGCGAGCGCGAGACTGCCCCGTGTCTTTACGCGAGTCAGCGAGTTGCGAGCACCAGAGATTATCGGATCATTCAAAATATTCAGAAGTTGATCGATTCTGAGTAGTCTAAACGGACAACAACAACTCAGGCCCAGTTCCTTGTTTCTCATCTTTTTCCAATTCTAGAATTGGAAAGAGGTAATGAATAAGTTGAATCTTTCAATTTAAACGACCAAATAACGAACAATGTAAGGTGTTAAGTAACTGTATTTAATATAATTTTACATATCGGTATGATTATCAAATATAAACGTTTCGGCTACACAGAGCCTTCTTCAGTATAACTATTAATATAAATCCTACAAGTTAAAGAAAAATTAAAGACATTATTGTTGGTGAACCAAGTCCAATCTTCAAAGGATGTCCAAATTTTACATGCAAAACTAAATTCCTCGTTTACCGACGAGAATTATGCTTAGTCCCATCACGTATGAAATTGTTTTTTCTAAAGATATAAATCAATTTATAGAATAACTACTAGTATAAAACTGTACAATCAATACTCACATAATGGTACACCGAACAATTTTCCATAATAATGTTCTTATAAACGTTCGTCTGACAATTCCTACAGATGATCAGTTATATATAGACCCTCAATTTTGACTGGTGGGAACACAAAGATTCCTATTTGTTATTATTTGTAGAACTTTCTTTTCATTTGTTCAACTAACACAATTTCTTTAAGAGATTTCATTGAAGCAAAAATGACTCCTTTTATTTGAATGTTGAATAACTCAGTGAAAAAAAAATCGTACAACGTTCAATAAAAAAAGCAAATTGAAGGTAAAAAAATTCATTCTTTCGACTGCTGAAAACCGCATTTGTGTGCGATTTTTAGTTCACGCCATAATTTGTAAAATTTGTACAAAATTTTCAGATTTGACGGATACCCATTTCTGTTCGTATAGCTATGTTAAAAATCAATCAGATCGAAATATCATTACCGATTTCGAAAGTAGAGATTTCAAGCTTTAAAATGCTTTTTTAAAAATCACGTTATGATCATTTTTTACGAAGTTACACTCTTCTGAATTTTTACCTATTTTTGAGGATTAGGTGATCCTTTAATTTTTTTGCGTAGTGTATATTAGATGGTAAATCACTTAAGCGCTAAAATAAATTTTTATTATTATTCGAGTTTATCATTACTTAAGTACATTAAATACATCATTCCATCCAGAAAAGAACATAAAATATGGTTTTTTATA